TACAAATCGAACCTTACCTACCAACCACAAATAATCTCAAGTCAAAATCAACAAAAAAAGCAACGTAAACGTAATATTATTTGGTATAACCCTCCGTTCAGCTTAAACGTCAAAACAAAAATAGGAAACCGTTTTCTAGCCCTTGTTGACTTACATTTTCCAGCCGGTCACAGGCTACATAAAATATTCAACCGAAATTCTATTAAGATTAGCTACAGTTGCATGCCTAACTTAATATCTATCATAAATTCGCATAATTCCAAAATTTTACACAACAAAAATCAATTAAAAACCAACCAATGTAACTGCGTAGATAAAGCATTTTGCCCTTTGAACAATCAATGTTTATTTAACAATATTGTCTATCAAGCAACCGTAAGTTCCAGTCATCATGATCGTAATAAAAAAGTATATTTTGGCATTAGTAATACACCATTTAAACTAAGATACGCAAACCATCTCAAATCATTTGCATCAATTAAATATAGAAATGACACAGAACTATCTAAGGAAATATGGAGTTTAAAAGACCAAAACATAAAGCCCATTATAGAATGGAAAATTGTCAAACGTTGTAAACCTTACAATCTAGCAACAAAAATATGCCACCTTTGTCTCTACGAAAAATATGTAATTTTATCGCATAATGGAAAAAATCTACTAAATAAAAAAAACGAAATCGTATCTCAGAGTCGGCATTCAAAAAAATTTCTATTATCTTTATTTGACACAGGGGATTAATAAACTATAACGGATTTTTGTTTTTTGTTTTTTGATTTGTTTTTTACGTAGATTTGTTTATAACGTCAGATGTCATTCTACAGTAATTTTTACGTTTTTGTAACGGTTTGTTTACGTTTTTTGTTTGTATTAACGGCTGATAATTGCCTTCGGGCATGAAACTTTAAGTCCCGCTAATCAGTTGTTTTTATTCATCTAAATATATATATATATAGCTCTATTATTTAATTTTATTGAGCACTGTAACACGTACAAGAGACTTCGTATTATTACATCAAAATACTTAACCTCGAATATATTCTATATATCGAAATCTATACATGTATATATATATATATATATATATGTATATGTATATATATATATATATATATATATATATATATATATATATATATATATATATATATATATATATATATATATGTGTGTGTGTGTGTGTATATGTATATAAATGTATATATATATAAATACATATATGTATATATACAGTGGCGTAGCTACCATATAGCAAAGTAAGGCAATGCCTCAGGGCCCAAGAGTTGAAAGGGGCCCTTTTAGCTTTGGCCACAGCACACAGCCGCTTTTATTTTTATATAAACAATTTGAATATTTTATCTAGTTTTTATTGCGATTCTAATTTTTTAATTTATAGAAATCTTTCAGTTAATTAGTCTTCTCTCCCCTTTTTATTTAGATTTCTCCTATATGAAATTACCAGTGTTTTCATTGGTTGATTTTAAAGTTAACGCGCGTTTTTTCCGGACCGTTAGTAACAGTTTAGAAATGCTAACATTAACATGCACGTGTAGCGTCAAAAATATGTATTCGTAACTGCTGAGGTTTTTAATATTGTTTAAATATCCATTGTATTTTTCTAATAGAAAAATACAAAATAGAAAGTTTCTATTCATTGTTTCTTTTCTTTTATATCTCCCTTTCTCCTAAGAAATTTACGTTTTCCGTTTTTCTTCTTTAGATTATCTGAAGCATTGCAATAACCATTTAGTGCTTTCTGTATAGGGAGTTTAAAATTGCACAATTTATCCTGATCATTTCCATGTTATAAGAAAACATGGAACTATTAAAGAGTAAAAGTGGGTTTCAAAAAAGAAAACTTAAAAAACAGAAAGAAAAAGCATTAAATAAATTACCAAAGCTAGACAAGTTTATTATTAAAAAAAATAATAATAACTAAGAGATTACTCCAGATGATGCATCGATCGAATGTGAATGTTAAATGATGAGTTAAATATTTTAGAGAAAGGCTATACAGAAGTGATTGCTTGTAAATCAACTAAAGCAGACTGTAGCGATGGAGAAATTATAAAAAGATGAAATAGTTGACACTGAAGATGCTCAGGAAGTTTTAACAGGTATTAATGAAAAAAATATCCTTTATACAAATACCACTATATGTAGTGACCTAGGAAAATATTTAAATCACAACATTTCTGATGAAACCAAAAGATTACTGATAAGCATTCCTGGTCACAGACCTAAAGGACCATTTCCGAAAGATCCTAGTTAACAGAGCAGAAGTTTCAGTGAAACTTACTATTATTCTACATCAAACTATGGCCCAGTTCCACGATTATGGATTTGTTATTCAAGTATGTTGGACGCAGTATACTGTCAACCTTGTTGGCTTTTTTCAAGCATCAAAAGTCAATGGCAATCGGGGATAAAGGATTGGAAAAATTTATCACAAAAGATAAAAATGCACAGTTCATACCAACATCACATTGAAGCCTGTGCAGTGCTCGAATTATGGAAGAAAAATAAAACCATCGATAAAAAAGCTGAAGATGAAATACGATACAGGGCATCATTTTGGCAGATGGTTCTAAAACGATTATTCCGCATAATACTTATTTCATCAAAAAATTCTTTGGCATTTCGTGGTCACCTTGAAGGATTTACTGAGGATTATAATAGAAACTTTTTATCACAAGTTTAATTACTTTCTAACTACGACAGTGTCATGAAACAAATTTTAGAAATGCCATCTGGTTCAATCCGATACTTAAGTCCGACCACACAGAATGAACTAATACATTGCCTGGGAAAAAAGTGATTGAATGACTTGATTGCAAATATTAATTCTTCACCATTTTATGTCCTAATGTTAGACACAACACAAGACATTACCAAGAGAGACCAATTAAGTGTTATAATACGGCATGTTCACATTGTTAGAAATCTAAATCAAGAACCAGCTCAATTTTAAATTAAGGAAACATTTTTAGGATTTTATGAATTGAAGTACCATTCAGCAGAGGGAATGACTAATCAAGTATTGATGTTATTGAAAGAAGCACATATTCCAATTGAAAAGTGTTATGGGCAGGGTTGCGATGGTGCTAACGTTATGAGTAGAGTTTACAGTGGTGTACAAACCAGGATTAAACAAATCCAACCAAATGCTGAGTATGTACACTGTAACAGTCATAATTTAAATTTGGTAATTAATGACTGCGTAAATGCCTCGCATGATATCTTATCATTTTATGCTACTCTTCAAAATATTTATTTATTTTTTGGAAATAGCATAAAAAGATTGGACCTCCTCTCTTTTTTACTGGGGAGTCTGAAGTTACATTGAAAAAACTAAATCCAACTCGATGGTCTGGTAGACTACAATCATTAACAGCTGTAAAAGTTCCATTTATGGATATTTTAAAGGCTTTGACTGAAATAATCCTTAAATCGACCAAAAAAGATGAAAGAGAAGAAACACTTCAAATAAAGAAAAAAAATGGGACATTCGATTTTGTTTTATGGTAATGTGCAAGGTTAATTATGCTTCACAAACTTTACAAAAACAAGAAATAGACTTGGAGGAAGCTACTGAAGTTTTAAAACACGTTCGTGAAAAGTTAAATTACATTAGAAATTCATATGAACAAATCAAATTAGAAGCAGAAGAACTGGCGCGAAAGTGGGACATTGAAACTAACCTCTTTTTGGTAATCAATTTCTGCAAGCAGTTTCATTGTTAAAAATAGACTTAACTTCAATGTCGATTAGGCAATTTTCAGATTTACTCCTTACTAAGTACAGTTGCTTAGAAAGTTTTTAGAAATATATACAGTTCTAATGTTGTTCTTCACCCTACAAGTAACTGTGTCTAGCGTTGAAAGATCTTTTAGCAAATTAAAAATAATAAAGGACTATAAAAGAAATTCTATTGGTCAGAGTAGGTTAAAAGAACTGGCGATACTAGCTATTGAACACAAAGAAGCAGCACAAATGGATCTTAAAGAAATAATATGCAGTTTTACAAATGCAAAAGCTAGAAGGAAAACTTTTAATAATTAAAACATGTGAGATTCATTATTTCTTCGTTTGAGAGTTGGTAATAAAATGTTTTATATTTAATATTGCATATGGTATATATATATATATATATATATATATATATATATATATATATATATATATATATATATATATATATATATATATATACATATATATATACATATATATATATATATATATATATATACATATATATATATATATATATATATATATATATATATATATATATATATATATATATATATATATATATATATATATATATATATATATATATATATATATATACTCTAAAAAACGTTGTGTTAAAACAACACAAGCTTTTGTGTTCCGCAACACAAAACTTTTGTCATATATGAACAACACAAGACGATGTTAATTTAACATAATGCCTTGTGTTAAACAAACAACACAAGGCATTGTGTAGAAATTTATGCGTAATCTTGCGGTTAATCGCAAAGTTAGTTTTTTGTTTATTTTTACTCATAAAACACGTTTTAAAACATATTTTACGCAGCAATGTTGAACTAAATGACTAAAAAAAGTCGCGACGATTTTTAATTAAAATTTAAATTATAGAGGAGGTATGCTTTCATTTTATTGAAAGTTTGTTAAGAAATAGAATACAAAAGTATGTTTAATAATTTCATTTTATCATCTGAACCAAATTTGCATCATATATTTTTATATACTTTATCCATTTATTTTAAAGAATATGTTATGTCTGTAGTTTGAAATATATTTTTAAAATTTACTGAAAATATCGTGCATATTTTTAATTTATAGTTTCACATAAAAGATTTGCAGTAAAAAAAAAAATTCAAAGAAGAAGATAAAGGCTAAAATTACTAAAATGTCCTAAATTACTGTCTAAAATTTGTCAGCATCAGTTTAAGTCTTTATTGTTTCTGAATATACTACATATGAGATATCTACATATGAGATATCTCTTCGAATAATTTACGTGCTTTAGTGGACGCAACAGAACCAGGCAGTTTATAAAATAATTCTTGAAAGAAATTGTATAAAATTTGTAGTTGCTTTGGATATTCAAGATTAAATACAAAAAACGGCTTGAAAAGACAGTCAAAGGCAACAGAAACTTTCGAAGGTTTAACTATAATTGCTTTTCCATCGCATACAACAAAAAAAGACGATCCACACGACAAAATGAACGGTTGCTGTTTTGGATTTGAGCGATTAAGGAACATCTCGAGTGTCTCGCCGTCTTGAAAAAAAAAGTATGCAATTTTTTTAAGTTTGAAGTAAATCTAATCGAACAAAAATTAAACACAAGTAAAATAAAGTAAAATAGAGATAAAGAAGATTGAACAGTTTTTAGTATAATTAAATTTAATACTTCCTTAAAATTATATACTAATGGTATATTAATAATTTAAGAAACAAATGAGATTTCAAAATAAATCTTACCTTTAGTTCTTCAATTAGGAAAAGCATTGCTGCACCTGCTGAAACACGATATTTTCCCATAGTTGGCAAAAGATAAACAAGGACTTTTAAAGATTTTAGTACTAATGCATCTAAACAAAATTAAAATTTTGTTTAGATGCATTAGTACTAAGATGCATAATATCATTTACATAGATACAAACATAACTTAATAAATTTAACTTTTTTGTTTAAGATTTTTTGGAGATTATTCACCTGTATTGCTGTTCCCTTCAGTATCTATGTCACCTATAATGTCAATGCATTTGCCAGTCAGCCTGCAGTATGCAATTATTTGTTTCGAAATTTTTGTTTCCAATAAAACTGGAATATTTTCTACATAACTTTGATTAATGGATTGGAATTCATCATTTAACTGAATAGTACAAGCAAATATTACAAATTATTTTAATGCAAATGTTACAAATTAATTTAATGCAAAAATTGAAACTACCCCTCAAAAATTTGTCTAGGCAGGAATTATTTTTTTTTTTTTACCAACAATGGAGTGTCCATAAATCTTGGAAATTCCTCAAGTACCCTATTAGCTAAGTCATTTTGGATCCACAATTGCCTGCATAAACGTGATTTATTCATCAGTTCTACAATCTCATTTTCATTTCGGTCTGTATAAATAAGATGCAACAATTTTGTTTTTATTAAATCATATTCTTCGTTGCTAATTTCCGCTGGGTCATCTCCAAATGCAATAAACCCATCACCTAATAGTAAAAAAATATTACAAAACAAATAATATTTTACAGAACACATAAAGTATAAAACTATAAAGATAATATTTATACTAAATTACATTATGTATAAGCCCTGTATTATGTCCTATTTTTAAGAAAAGATTTCCAATTTTAAAAAATGTGGTATTAACATGAGCATTATAATATAAGCATAGTATCAGCATTAAAAATGTGTGTTAAAACTTTTTATAATTTTTTAAACATTTGTCTATAAAAATGCGTTATGAATTTACTGTTAATAAATGCTTTATAAAATTATCAAATGTTTAAAAACGTCTTTTTAAATAGAAAAATACTCGGCAATTAACTAGGTAATAAAAAATTAACATATTCTTTTTACTGCGAGAACGGTATTTTTTACATCTGCTGGGTAACGACGATAAATTTCTCTAAAACGGTTAGTGAGAAAACCCTTTGATGTACCCGGACAGTAGTATAATTCCTTTTTTTTTTAATAAGTTATATCTTTAACGAGAAGTAAACGATATCAAAATCAATCATATAACATTAATAAGTTTTGTGAAATAATAAACTAAGTAATAAACAACAAACAAATCTTAAATTTATTTTTACAATAAATTGAATTAATAATAATACAAGAAGAAAATTTGTTGAGACATTAAAGTTAGAATCATGTAAAGATGGTGCAGTGTGTTTGACACGTTTAAAATATTAGGTAATGAAAGTATAGTCTACTACATAATTTTGAAACAAAAAATTGAAAAAAAACAAAACAACTTACATGTCCATTTCCGCTTCGACATGCCCAAAACTTAAAAGTTGAAACAATACTTTTTGCCATGGCTAATTGATGCTCTGGTGGAGGATAGCTGTAGAAAGTATTACAGTTTAAACGGAATAGATATAAATATATAGTAAACTAATTAATTTTATTAGCTATACAATTATGTTACTTATATCAATTATGTTATTTATAATAAATTAAATTAATCACATAATATAATTAACATACTTAATGGAACATTTTTATTTTTATTTTTTTTATTTTGCTCAAAAACATTCTTCATACAGTGGAATTTCACCAAAAACAGCCTCTGGCAAAGGTAAGCAAGCAGGCATAATTTCAATACCAGGACCTACTTCTGTACTGAGTATACTTGCTAAATTTGACAAATCAAGATGTAATTGTATTTGCTGACGCCATGCAATACTTTTGAAAACATTTTTAAAGTTATGCAAAATGTGACATTGCTCCTTTGCAGGAGCATGTTTTCCTTCAAATCGCATACACCAATAATTTGGTGAAGGACCTAGTTGTAAAATTTTTGAAGGATAATGGACAAGAAAATATTGTTTTGGAATAACAGTATGTCCAGAAAATATTTTTGTAAACAACTTGTGATGAATGCTAATGACCTCTGTTAAATAAGTTATTAAATGAACAGTCGCTTTTGGAGCAAAGATTATTCCACATATTTCCAATAATAAATGAATTAAATGAAAGTACTGGTTATCAGTATCTACAACATCACCAAGCAACAAACAAAAAAATCTTCCTAAACATTAGCTTTGTGTTGCATTTAAACCTAACCTTTTGTCTTTAGAAACAAGTTTTTTACGTGTTATTTGCAACGGCCTATTTTTCTTATCAATGCCAAAATTAAAGGTTTGCAATCGACCATTGAGTTCCTCAATGGTCAACAGGCAATCAATTAGTAATAAGCGATGAAGAACTATTTTTAATTCATACTGTAAGCAACCCTCAAGTATGTCATGCATTGAATCTGGGCAAATGTTATGAACAGAAAAATACTGAAGCTCTGACAATGGATTTTGTTTATATACACCAGATAACTTGTTACTATTAGATTCACTAAAAAGGGCTTGACAATCTGCAATGTGACGCTCTTTAGTTCTTTAGTCTAGATCTTCTTCATAAAAAGTGTGTTGCATTTGCTCTTTTGTTGTATAGCAGTAATGACAGCTCTTGTTGGCAATAAAGTTTAAACTAAATCCAAAAATTTGGTGCAATGCAAGATTGTCTCCAGACCACATAACTACTGCACCATATATGCAAATGTAATTTCCATTTATATACAATGTAACTCCCTTCTCTAGAGCTACCAAGTCCTTTATTAATGGCTTTAAAAGCTTTTCATATCCATACTTTGCAACATCAGCGGAAAAACAATAAATTACAGGATTTATGTTAGTCAATTTAGAGCATTTCTTTATGTTAACATTTTTGATGGACAAATAAACTGCACAAACTTTGTGAACTTTAGTTTTGGATCCTAAAGGATTTACTGTTTCAAAATCATCACAGTATAGTTGAAGCTGAAGAGCATCTGGATGTTTCTTGTATAAAGGATGATTCTTATATTGTTCTGCATCACTATAACAAGTTAATTTATTTAATTTTGTTAAAACGTTATTATCTATTTTGTCAACGGAGTACTTTGAAATCACCATAGAAATGGTTTCTAGAATAGGAATATACTGCATAGTTTCATTTCAATAACTCATTATATTATTTTTATAAACTTTATGAAGCATCTCAGATCTGAACCCAACAGTTATTTTAATAGGTGCAACGATCCCTTTTTGTTGTAAGTGTTTTCTTTGCAGGTAACTAGATGTAATTAAACTACACTTTACACACTCACATTCAATATCATTTAGGACATCACTTACTCTGCCAGAATCTGTTTCATCATTTTGAATTTCCCCATTTAATTCACTTGAAAAAATAGTATTTCTATTATCTTTATCAGTATGTGCTGCTGTATAAATACCTAGCTGATCCATTAGCTCACCATTGCTTTCCATAGGAGAAATATTTATATCGTTATATTCCAAATGAGGGTCAATTGGATGCTTTCTATATAAATGAATTTTTAGGGAATGGACACTGTCATATGTTCTGCAACAGCCACCTTGTCTACAAGAAATTTTACAATTTTGTTTTGAAGTAATACCATGGCGATAATGAAAATGTTTTAAAAGATCACCTACAGTCTTCAATGATACTAAAATAGACTCACAAAAAATACAAAAATAACCCATTGTTAATACTTAACAGTGATGAAAAAATTTTAAGTAATTAACTACAAACTAAAAATTATTAATCTTGATTCAAAAAAGCTGTACTAAAATTTTTAAAAATCTATTTGAAATAGTACAAATTCCATGAGGTGTTACGCATGCGTATCTTGAGAATTCCTCTACACAAGTCTTGTGTTAGCAAAAAAATAACAAATAATTTTTGTTTGCAGGTAACGCATGCGCTTTTGATTGATATTTTTATAATTTAACACAAACTTGTGTTTAACGGAAGCAACACAAGACCAAGTGTTGATTTTCAACACAAGGTTTTTTACAGTGTATATATATATATATATATATATATATATATATATAATATATATATATATATATATATATATATATATATATATATATATATATATATGTATATATTTTATATATATATATATATATAATTTTTTTTTACGCAAATATCGCACCGATTTTTGGGAATGAGTTTCAGGTGATGAAAAGACTTTAAAAAATTGATTATTTAATCAATTGGCAATAGACATCTTATCTGCTAATTGAACTCCATCGTGGTCAAAAAGACATGGAATTTCACTTTTACAAGCCTTTTGGCTGTTTATATAAAATTGGTCAAAAAGAGATCGAATTTACTTATACAAGCCTTTTGGCTGTTTATATAAGAATAAAACTTTTTTGACAAGACTTACAAGCAGAAATGACTTCGCTCTCAAACTTTAGTACAGCATCACCAACAATTGTTTTGGCCAGGCAATTTTGTTTTCTGCACAAGATTCGAAAACTGTCCTTAAATTTTCTTGAAGCATAGCTTAACTTCATAAATAGTCTATTTTTTTTTTTAATATTAGATAATAAATGGTTTTAATAAACCATTTTGGATCGCGTTTTTTAAAATTAAAATAAAATAAAATGTGATGTTCAACCAATGCAATATAAATGTTTTTTAAACAATTCGAAGCTTTCATCTGCTAATTTATTTGTGTGTAAGTTTAGCCAATTGATTGCTTTTAGGCCCTCATTAATGGAATTATAGTAACCTTTGTCATAGATAAAATTAACTTTATGATGTCTGATTGATTTAATCGATGGTTTAAATCTAAAATCCCATACAAGTGAATTGTGGGAATGGTTTTTCTGAGTACAACCAAGCGGATGACCAATTGTAATATTATAAATACCATCAGGGTCTTCAGACAGTACCAGGTCAAGTGTGTTATTAATAAACGTTGGTTGGGTGACAACATGAGAAAGGAAGCAATCATTACAGTTTCTGAAAATATTTTACAAGACTGTATAGAATTTTTGCGTTTGCCACCCAAATCACTCCATATGATATCACTTTGACTAAAATCACCAACAATAAGATTTTTAAATTTACCATTATCAATAAGAGCTCTAGCGTGTTTGGTTGACATGTTGATTTGTAAATTAGACTCACATTAAGTAAAAGTTTGGCAATAAAAACAACCAATTGACAAGATATTATTTCCAATTAAAATCTGACACCATATTTTTTATATACCCAGTAAGCAGACACTATTTGGCTCAATAGCGAACCAGCCTTGGCTGCCGAGCTGTAACAGGCCTGGCACGCCAGCGACGTAACAGCGCTGAGTTGCTCATTGGTTTTTCAAAGGGCCAGTATACGCAAGCCAGTGCTGGCGCAACAACGTTTTGACCAACGCTGGCAATCAGCAAACGTTGCACTAAACGCCCATTATACAAAATTTTCCAATTAAACTACTTCTTTCATCAGTTTTTACTAATTTTACTTATTATATATATATATATGTTATGTTTTTTTTTTTTTTTACTTTTTGTTAAAATAGACACAAGTTAAAAAAAAAACAATTATTGAATTCATATAATAAATTGTTTGTTAATAATTTACAAGTTAATAAATTTGCATTAAAAACATATAAAAAATAAATGCATTAAATTTATCATTAATAATATAAATACTTGTAAAGCTTATAATAATGTCAAATATACAATTAATATAAAACATAACATATAAAACAGATCATGCAAGACTTTGAGAACATTATACTTTGTCAGATTCATCAAAAATAAAACGTTCAAATCGTAGTAATGATAATCCAGATAAAGGTTTCAATGTCAATGATTGAGCAGTATAGCCACGATTTTCTGTTGAGCTGGTTTTTTGGATGGACTTTTTTTCTGCTCCTTCTTTTCTGCCTCTATTTCTGTCTAGAGCTCCAGAAAAAAAAGCTACAACTGCCTTTTAAATTTCTCTGTAATCGATATCTTTTGACAGCAAATTTCTTCGTATTGCTTCTATAAACATAAACGTAGTCATATATCAAGTATTTTAATGAACAAAATTATAAGAGTATAGCTAAATATAGCTGTTGTATATATCTATATATGTCTTTATCTGTCTCTCTCTCTCTCTGTTTTTCTATATATATATATATATATATATATATATATATATATATATATATATATATATATATATATATATATATATATATATATATATATATATATATATATATATATATATATATATATATATATATATATATATATATATGTATATATATATATATATATATATATATATATATATATATATATATATATATATATATATATATGTATATATATATATATATATATATATATATATATATATATATATATATATATATATATATATACATATACATATGGGTATGATTAAAAGTCTTTTTTTTCAAAAGGAATGACCTTTATAAACTAAATTGGAAATTTAAAAAAAAATAAAAAAGGTTCAGAAGGGGGCAATAATACCTAACATGCAACTTATAAAGACTCATTTAATTTCAGGTAATGATATTGCATGTGGAATAATAACATCGAAGCTGGTGTCATGGAAGGAATCTATCGTTCCTTCCCTGACACAGTTTTTAATGCCTATAACTAAAAATTTAGAATTCTACAAACAATGTATTTTCTCAAAATTAAATAAATATTTATAGTTAGTTTGTTAGGTATTTTTACCCCCTTCTAAACCTTTTTAATTTTTTTTTAATTTTCAATTTAGTTTATAAAGGCAATTCCTTTTTAAAAAACACGACTTTTTTTTGTATCTCAAATCGAGCAGGTTTTGATTTGAAAATTGAATCAAGAATCAAATCAGCAATTTAAGGAATATGAGTTAAAATATTTCTTATATTATATATTTCAAAAGAAAAAAATAATATTAAAAACTCTTTTTTGGTGCTTCATGCAGTTTTTACCAATTGGTAACAATTTTTAACGACTGGTAACATTTTTAACGATGGAACACACACACACAAACACACACACATAGAAACAACAACAACAACAACAAGCTATTTATTTTCCGTTAATCATTTTACAATAATTTTGATAATAATGATAATATAATAATAATAGTAATAATGGTAAAAACATATAATATAACATAAGATAAAAATATAATTATACAAATTATAGTAATAGTAATAATATGTATTTTTACAAAAATTACAATGAAAAAATAATAATAATAACTAATATTAATATAAGATATAATATTAAAATGATAATAATAACTAATATTAATATAACAATAAGTTAATGATTTATAAGGATGGTGTCACTCAAACAAAAATCTGATCAAAGGAGTGACGCCAATTTTTAATATAATATAAGTAATAATAAGCAAAGACACACTCTGAAATACATGGAGCGTAAACACACAAACCAAAGCACATAAAATATACATAAAAAAAAACATGTAGAAATCAATTTGCAGGTTTTACTAATAAAAAATAAATTAAAAAAAAGTGCTGATGATGATTGTAATAATTACAAAGAGAAAACTAAAACAATATTTAAATCATAAGGATAATAATACCAAAAAGTTAGAATAAAATGTTTTTTAGAATTTTTTTAAGTTGATATTGTTTAAGATAGAGTAAAGGTATTTGAGGATATACACTCTTACGAAAATTGGTTTTCATTGATTATCCAGAAAATCGATCGGTTTCACAGAAAACCCAAAGGTTTTATGGCGTTTCCAAAAAATGATTTGGTTTTTTGCAAGAGAAACAAAAATAAATTGGTTTTCCAACAATTCATCTTTAAAAAACTATTGATTTTTTAGAAAATAAATGCAAATATTCATCTATTATCTTTAAATTTGATTGGTTGTTTACTTGCAGCCTCCATATTAGTTTTAAACAAGCGCGCTTTTTAATAACTGTCATTTATTCGTTACTTATAAAATTGGAATTGCTGTTATCTATTTTAAATTTTACTCTCTAAGAAGTCATTCAATTATTTTATTAAACTAATGGCATCAAATATCTTTTTACCTGTTAGTATTTGTTATATCTATTTAAAATATATCTCTAATGTTTTTATTTCCAAAGTTATTGCTTAGCATTACTATAGTTATGCTAAGCAATAACTTTGAATATATGAATTTGCTATAAAAAATTATTGCTTATTGCTAAGCCTTAGTAATTCCAAGGCTTATCAATAAGCAATAATTTTATATACCAAATATATTGTTATAAGCAATATATACGATATATTGCTAATAGCAATATGTCTTATATATTGCTTATAACAATATATAGTATATAGTATATAGTATATGATATATAAATATATATATATATATATATATATATATATATATATATATATATATATATATATATATATATATATATATATATATGTAAATGTATAATATAACTATTAATATAATGATATGAATACCCCATATTATGTTTTGCTAAGCAATAATTTCCTAGTTTCTTAATATTTTCCTAATTCTAGTGAGTTCGCCACCTGGGATGAAGAAAATAGGAAAGAAGAAATTCAATTCAAAAATTACGAAAAATTTTAAAGAAATTAAACTACTTTAGTGTTTGATGATATAGTCAACATATAAATAGTATATATATATATATATATATATATATATATATATATATATATATATATATATATATATATATATATATATATATATATATATATATATATATATATATATATATATATATATATATATATATTTATATATATATATATATATATATATATATATATATATATATATATATATATATATATTTCTCTTTAAATATTAATTTTCATATATAAGTTATAATTTTTGTTCTAATTTTCTCCTATGAAAATTAAAAGTCAGAATAAAATTTAGTTTTTTAAATATTTTTTAGGCAAACGTTAAACAATGGGATTTATTGGATTTTTGCAGTTGGCTAGATTCCATCGGATTAACTAATTATATAGATGCTTTTAAAGGTATTCTATAATTTGTTTAAATCATATTTGTGACACGGAAAATACATTTTTTTGCTCTATTTGCCACCTAACAACCATTTCCCTTTCTAAGTTGCTGAGACATTTAACGGTTTTCCACAGCCATGATTTTAACTTTAATGTAGAATGCTGTAATACAAGTTGCAAAAAAATATTTTATAAAATAAATAGTTTTCGTAAGCATGTTTACCGTTATCATAAGAATTATGGTTTAAAACAAAAAGGTAATGACCATCGTGTGTCTGTGGTTGGTAAAGAAGAATTAATTTTTAGTTGTGACACTTCTAAAGTAGTAGTTGATAGTTACTCTCTTTTTTTAAAGATTGTGTCTGAATTAAAATATTGTGTTGGATTAATGTTTTTGAATTTGCGAGAAAAACATGTAGTTTCCAGCCAAGTTCACATTGAACTTGTATCTGATTTTAAAGAACTGTTTCAAACCTTTTTGACATCATACAACGATGTCATTGAGAAGTGCTTACCAATGCCGATAGATGCTACATTTAAAAGTATATTAGATAGTGACCTTCTGTGTGATGTCTTTTCACATTTTATGAATGCATATCAACTTGTTAAGTTTAATAAAAATACTCTTTCTATGGTTGAGCCAATAGAAATTAAAATTATTAATACAAATAAAAAAGTTCATAAATTCCACTAAATAAGCTTGAAACGTAATCTTGAAAAAATACTTTCAAACGAAGAGGTTTTCAATGAATTTGGTAGTTATTTAAATAAAATAACAATTTCAGACACTAATAAAGATAATTTAAGTGATTTTCATGATGGAGAAATTTTTAAAAAATATCCTTTGTTTTCCACTGACCCAACTGTAATTCGTATTCATTTGTTTATAGATGAGTTTAAATCTGTTAATCCTCTAGACTCCAAGAGAGGCAAACATAAAATTATTGGTATTTATTACGCTATTGGAAATTTGCATCCACGCTATCGCTCTCAAATGTCTCAAGTTGATTTAGCTTCATTGGTTCGTTCTAATATTTTGAAAAAAACTTCTTATTCTGAAATTATGAAACCATTAATTGATGAACTTATAGAGTTGAGTAATAATAGGATTATTTTAAAAACTAACAGTATGACTCATTCACTTAAAGTAAGTCTTGCAACAGTTTCAGCTGACAACTTAGGTGCTCATGCACTAGCAGGTTTTCGCTGCTGTTTTAGTTCAGGTAGGGTTTGTCGAACCTGTCTAGTTTATTTTGAAACAATAAGGCTAAAACAATATCACATTGACTGTTATTTAAGAACAGATCACAACTACAATCAACAGTTGAATGCAATAAATAAATTTCCTGTTAACAAATCTGTTTATGGAATAAATCAATCGTGCTGCTTGAATAATCTACCATTTTTTAATGTTTTGGAAAGTTTTCCACCTGACATCCACCATGATTTCTTAGAAGGAATAGTTCCTATGGTTTTAAAATTAGTTATCCAAAAATTGATATCACATAACATTATTTCTCTTAAACAACTTAATTATGAAATATGTAATTTTTCATTTGGGTTTAATGATAAAAAAAGTGCCTCTAAGTGCGTCAGTTTTGTCTAAGAAGGGTCGTATAACTGGAAAAGCATCTGAATTGTAGTGTTTTTTTAGATGTCTGCCAATTATAATATTTGGTTACATATCTAGTTTTAATGATGACTGTCCAGCCTACTGGTTGGTTTATCTTGAACTAAGAAATATAGCTGATATCATATTTTCACCAGTTATTAAAAGAGATTCTCTTGGATATTTAGCTTATATGATTGCATCATTTGTTAATTCTTTTGTGGATATATGGCCTGGAAATTTTATTCCTAAAATGCACTACATGGTGCATTATCCTGGACAAATTGAACTATTTGGACCTTTGCGACATTTATGGTGCATGCGATTTGAAGCCAAGCACAACTACTTTAAGTGTCTTTCTCGTGTTGTTTCTAATTTTAAAAACATCACTTATACATTGTCTAAGCGGCATCAAATGCGCCAGTGTTGTGAATTAAATTCAGTTGATTTTATGAAAATTGAGCAACACAATCAAAGAAATAATATTATTATATCATTAACTTCATTACCTGAAGGTCTTCAAGTAGAACTTACACATAACTTTTTACTTGATCAAAACACTCAATTGCGGAAAGTTACAAATGTTTCAGTGAATCATTGTTCCTATCAAACTGGTGACTTTATTGTTCTTAACATTCTAGATGATGGTACTCCTATTTTTATGTCACTCAAGTATATCCTTAAAAATAATGGTTTATGGTTCTTGTGTGGTAAACTGTGTTCTTGTGAAAAATTTCTTTTTTATTTACATGCTTATAATCTAATTGAAATATCTTCTTGGGTTGTTATTCTTTCTGGACAAGAAGTATCACATGAACCTTTAGATGGATATTTAATGTCTGATGGACAACTTTTAGTTACTTTACGTAGTTTAGCAACAAAATAATATAACATTTGTATATATTTCAGTTGTTAGTTTAACTGATTAAAACTCAACAAAAAAAAATCATTTTTTTAGATTTTCACTTATTTCAATTAATTTTGTTTTGTTTGATTTTCTTATAAAATAACTTGGTACAAAAATTGGTACAATATAACACATTTTACCAATTCTTCTTCTATTTAATATAATAAAAATATAATAGCATAGCAGAAATATAATAATGTACCTTGATACATACTTAGTAATGTTGAACATATGTTAAACATTTTTGCATATTCTTCAAACCTTTCATTTCAATTTAAACAGTTTAACATTAATTCAAAAGGTCATGTTTTTTTTAATATTATAATATTGTTATACATTGATGGTTCGGTTATTAACGAAATAGATGATTTTTTATGTTAAAGGAACTAATTCCTCCAATTTAAGACAGAATTTTTTTTAAGAAAGAATTAGCATCAAAAAATGTTATATGTGTAAGGTCTTCATCACCTACGTTAAACTCATGTAATGTAAGTATTACATTATCACCTGTTTGTGACAATAACGAGGCACTAACTATTTCTGAATCTTTGTAAGTAATGTTTTGTTTGTTTGTAAACATTTATAACTTTGTTTATTTTCTTTTAAATTTTATCTTATTTAAAATGTTATATTATTAAACAAAAAAAATAATAATTAAATTGATACAATATATTTAGCCAAGATTGTGTGCACGCATTTTACACTCTTAGGACTGTATAATATAAAAAGTTGTTTCATAATTCATGTCTTGAATTTATTTTTTAGTATTCGTTCAGATAAACTAACATTGCCCCCTATTCTCCTTGCTGCTGTGGAAAGAAAAGAAATAGACTTTAGTATTCCAAAAAGGTCAAAACTAAAGGAGTATGTTATGGATTTTCTTTTTGATGTCATGAAGCAACAGTACGGGTTGTAAGTATTTTGATTACTGTGTAAATTATAATTTAAAATATTATAATTTTTTAATTTTTCAAGTAAACATTTATTATCAGTATCAAAGTTGGTAAAATAATGGTGTTTTATATTTCTTATATATTATATTATATTTTATATATATTTCTCAATAATGATAAAGTATGTTATTGCTTTTCCCTAAAATAAATGCTTTATAGATTTCCAAGTAAAAGTAACTTCTATGAAATAGCAAATGAGCTTTTCCTAAGGTATCCTTCTCTAAAACCTCGTCACTGCAATGGCTCTGTGAGTATTTAACTGTATAATTAAAACTAATAATATCAATGGTGTTACAAAGTTATATAGCTAAAGAAGTTTTTTCTTTTATTCTATTGTCAAGAACTTCTTGTGCATTTGTTGAAGGCAAAATTTAAGCAAGTTAGGCGTCCTCTTCTAAATGATGAGCAATTTGCACAGTTTAAAATAAAGTACTCTAGAATTAATTCTGGTCGTAAGCGAAATTCTGTCTTGCTGAATAAATCTGTTAGTCTTTGCTCAGCAAAACGTCACTGCCATCATTCAAGTGATAAGGTAAGCACGATTTCACAGCATTTATAATACATATTTATGTGAGAAAATGCATAGTGTATTTGATTTGATAGCATAAAAAAAATTAGTTACATATTTTAATTATTATATAATAGAATGTGGATGATGGTATAACTCAAGATATTATAAAAAGCATGAAGAATGAGTGTGAGAAACTGCGCCCAGATGTAGAATTTTTGGCTCACCAGATTATCTTGTCTATTTGAGGCATTAAAATATACATGCCGAAATGAAAGAACTTTGGATGTCCTTAATAAATTCCTAGCACTTTACTATGAAAAAGTTGTAAGTGGTTTATGTAGTATTTTTTTGTATCTATTTTTTTCTTTTAATGTTGTCAAAAAACTGCAGCATTCCTGAATATGAGCAATAAGTCGCCCTATAATGAACTTGATAGCGGCTTAATGCAATAACTTAAATAACAATTTTTCAGTTGTTTTATTACTTTTATAAGGAAATTTACTTTCAATAAACATAAACTATATATAAAAAATACATAACAAAATTAAAATTATAAAACTAAATAAAGTAGGGTTTGCACTGTACATGGAAAACCTGGAAAATTTGTTAATTTTGGCTAAAGTCATGGAAAACCTGGAAAAGTCAGGGTTTTTTTTTTTCTTCTTTAGATAGTTTGAAAAGTCAGAGAATTCAGATTAAGTTACCCGTTCTACAATTCAGCTATTATGTTTTTGTTGATGCTACTATTTTACTTTTTTTGAAATTTTGTTTTTCTTAATGTTTTAGTAAATTTTCTTTTTCATCCTTAATAATAAGATCCATACTAATATCCATCTTAACTAATAGCTAAGTTTTATAAGTTTTGTCATTTAAAGCATGTACAATTTTAGCATTTCCATTACATTACATTAGATAGTAGTTTCAAACATTTTACAAAAATTATTGTTGAAAATAGTCAGGGAAATGTGTCTGATTTTTCAAAAAAGTTAGGAAAAATTCATAGAATTTTATATAAATATTTGGCTACGAATCCTGTAAGACAATTAGTTGCATCTTTAAAGAGATATTTACGACCTTGGCGTGAGAAGTTCAAAATTAATTTTTCTGTGTTTATTAAACTTTTTTATTGTCTGTGTTGTTTTTTTAAAAGTCTGCAAATAATATTTTTGGTCAGCTAAAAAACATATGCTGCTCCAGGGTACCACTTCCCAAATTTTTTAGAAAAGTCCTTGTAATATTAGGGTGGAATTCAAGGATATTTTTTTATTTAATGGCGTAGTGAAGTCGTTTTCTTTGTTTTATTTTTAGCTTTTGGCAGCAGCAAGAGTTTTAACAAATACAGATATTGACAATAACTGCTTGTTATTATTGGGTATGAAGGAGGGAATGAAGAAGTTAATAGATTTAAAAAAACCTTTGTCAGCTAGATGGCAAACATTATGCAATGGGGTACTTGATGAGATTAGTGATGGTAATAATTGTTAATTTAACATGAAAATTATTTAATTACTACTCTAGTTTTGTAATTTTTATTTCATTTTTCTATTTTTAGCAACAATAAAAAGCCTTCATTGTTTAATTCTTCCAAGCATTTTTTGTGACGAAGAAGCACTTTTGTTCACCATGACGCTAGTAAATTTTATTGATCGTTTAAATGATTGTATATTATTATATCATCGATTCGTTTAAATGATTGTATATCATTATATCATATAAGTCATTTTAATATTCCTTTATTTGAATAAAAATTGATGAAAAAAATTATTCAGTTCAATTTTTATTACTTAAAAACTCAATGCTTATTTAATGCAATATTTATTTTAATACTTTTAACATTTATATATTTTTATTCTAATTATTTGCATATATATTATTTATATATTTATTTATTTAAATATACTAATAAAGTTAACTAATGCAATTTTTAATATTTATTAATTATATGCTTCTTTTTATTAGGATCCAATCTATCCAACCCCTGCTCTGAAAATTGAAGGAGATGCTATAAATCCAACACGAATAAGTCTTGTAGTTGACGGGCTGACGCTAAGCAATTCTGTTCCTGATGTAACTTGTGGTTTGGGTCTCGTCATCTGCTCATATTATATTTTTGATATTGCGTATCCAAAGAAATTACAAAAAACCCTGTCTTTTCTAGAACATTACGTTTTTGAACGAAGGAGTAAACTTCCTGCCAACATTCAAAACATTGCTAGTTTTTTGAACTTATAATATTAAATTATAAAACTTGATAACATGTTAATGTTATTAATTTGTTTCAAAATCTTTATTTAAATCAAGTTTATTTTTTTGAGCTCTCCACTTTTAAGTTGTTATATATATATATATATATATATATATATATATATATATATATATATATATATATATATATATATATATATATATATATATATATATATATATATATATATATATATATATATATATATATATATATATATATATATATATGTATGTATATATATATATATATATATATATATATATATATATATGTATATATATAAATATATATATATATATATATATATATATATATATATATATATATATATATATATATATATATATATGTATATATTTTATAAATATATATATATATATATATATATATATATATATATATATATATATATATATATATATATTTATATAAATAGATATGAAAAGCGTATATAAATATGGTAAAAAATTAATAAACTTCATCTTTTGTAATAAATTATAATTTCTGGCCGATTATTTCTATTCTATGAAACAAAACTCATGGAGCTAAGTTTAGTAAAATAATCATAAATGTTTCGTTTTAAAAATTATGACATAACTTTAATTAAATCGTTATTGCTGGAAAACCAGTTTTTGGTTTTACGGCTTGTCCCAATAAACGAACCAATTTTGATTATCCAGAAAACCAAAAAGCGTCGGTTTTCTAGAAAACCAACTTAGTTTGATTTTCTGGATATTCAAATTGGTTTTCTAGAAATCCAAATTACTTTGGTTTTCTGAAAAACCAAAATAAATTGGTTTTCTAGATATTCAAATTTGGTTCGTTTATTGGGACAAGCCGTAAAACCAAATTTCGTTTCTTGAAAAACCGATTTTTTTAAGAGTGTATTTTATTAGACTCATTCAAAACGCATGCAAGGCTTCTGTTCCATTCACAGACGCACTGATGAACACACATATATAAATTTGATAAACACACATATATAAATTTAATAAATGACAATAAAGTGAAGAAAACAATAAAAGACGGTTTTAAATATTTATATTTATTTATTATTATATTTATTAACTTACTTTCAATAACTTGATGAAATTTAAGGATTCGGAAAGACTTTTTTTGAAGATCACCTTGCCCTGTCAAATTCAATTTTTTTGCTATTTCCTTTTTGCTGCTACTCCCTTCACCTTAAAAAATATTGTTACCACTAGTAAAACAATTTAGTTCATTTTTTTTATTAACATTAGTTAAAATTCATAAAATTTTTTGCAATAGGCTACAAATTAGTAGTCAAAATACCTTAATCACAGAGGTAATTATGATCACTTTTTCCAATCTTGTTCTACTTTTATTCAATACAGAGACAGGTGTCTGCAGACAAGACTTTTTTAATTCTCTATGTTCATTAAAATCTTGTGAGTCACTATCATAATTTTCATCAGGTTACTTCTGTACTTAAACGCATAAGTCTAATGTTAAAATATAGTTTATAGAAATTTTTATGGTATCTTATAAACACCTGAAAGTATGCATTGAAAAGTATACATGAAATACAAAATAATACCTTAAGATATTACGATGATCAGTAAAAATAATTTTAAGGCTAAACATTAACGGAGTTAATAAATGCATACTTTAGTCAACAAATAATAATTAAAACTTAGTGAAGTACATATTTTACTCAACGCTAAATTAAAAATAAAGAAATTATAAAGAAATATAATTTAGGTTGAATAAATATATAGATTATAGGAAAATAAAGGTGGGGGATGATGACAATGACAATGAGATCATATAAAATATACCATAAAAAATACATATATATATAATAAATTTTATTTAATTACATAAAAAACACAAATTTAAATAAAATTTTAGGATGCATTTAACATTTAAGCAGCTCTGGTCATAGATCAGCAAATTAAATCAGTAATATAATTATAGATATAGTTCTTTGATTTTTGGTTGTGATAGATTGTTTGTGTTAATTTTGTTTAAATAAGATTTATTTATTTTGGTTATTAATTTAAAACAGTAGTAGTTACTGTTTTAAATTAATAAAATGGTTTTATTAATTAAAAAGGTTTGTTTGGTTATTATAATACATATATATATATATATATATATATATATATATATATATATATATATATATATATATATATATATATATATATATATATATATATCAAGGATTACTATACGGAAGGACGTGCAAAGTCGATTTTCTGACTCCGCCAGCGAAGGCCATTATTTTTATCAAAGTTGAAGTGTTCTTTAACGTTCCTGTAACATTTTTTAAAAATTTTAACCATAATCATGATGAACAAATGTGGCGTTGTAAATTGTAAAAGGAATTATAAGAAACTTAATAAATATCGTATTTTTAAATTATCGAAAGATGAATTTGAGACACAGAAATGGATTAATGTTCTTCCTTTACGTAAAAATTTTATTATTGAGCCATCTAAATTTTTTATATGTGATAAACATTGGCCTGAAAATACAGAAATGATTAAGCTGCCTGCTGGCTATACTCGACCAGCATGTACACCTTGTATTTTTAATATTCCTTTTTCTTGTTTACCAACGCCTAAGCCTGTGTCTCGCCAATCTAAACCTGAGGACATGCAATTGAATTATTTTATCAAAAAAGATAGAATAAATTCGTTTTCTAATTTTTATCCTGACAATCAGTTGCACAAAAAATATAAAAATATAGTAATACCTCGACAAGACGATAAAGTCATATGCATTTTTATGTCAAAAGACTTCAATGAGAGTTTTGTGACGATTATTGTTTTTGATAAGTGTACCTTGTGTTCACCGCTAACCTTTTCAGCTTTTAAACAAGGAATTTCCGTTCCATTAGCTAATATAGTTGATCCAAACAATGGATTAATCTTCTATTCACAATTTTTTGAAGTTATCAATTTAGTTCATAAATATAATCTGCATATTAATGATGTTATTAAAAAGGTGACAAATACTCTTTCAGAAATTGAATTTGAATTAAACGATGATAAGAAACAAAAAAAAAAATGAATTTTATTACAAGACAACTCAAACTCTTGTTTAAAAAAAGTTTCTCTATAGATGATTATTGCTTTGCAATCGAGTCTTTTTATAACTGCAAGTACGATCAACTTCGTGATTTTTTAGTCCTTCCAATTAAACGAAAGCTTCATTCTATAATTTCTGCCACTAACATTGACCATGTTTTACAAAAAACATTTAAAAACGTAAAGAATAATCAACAGAAAAATTTTATTTTGATAGTTGACAAAGTAAAAAATAGGCCAACAGTTGCTTATTCGTGTAGAGTTTATAATGGGATGGCAAGAAATGATTCCGAATCCAAAGCAACCTCTATGCTGTGTGTCATAATGAAATGCTTACATGGTCTACCTAGTTTAATGATTTCTGTTACCCCTGTTCACAAACTAATATAATTGTATCAGTTAATTGTTGTGAAAGAAGCTGCTATTATAGTTGAAAAACATGGCGCAATAGTTTTAGGATCTATAACTGATAATCATAAAATCAATCAGCAATACTTCAAAATTTTTAACAGAAAAACTGACTATCAGGCCATTCATCCATTAGACAATCAGCGTGTTTGGTTTCTTTTATTTGACACAGTTCATCTACTTAAATGTATTCGCAATAACTGGATTTTTGAAAAGTGTCAAAAGCTTTCTCTCGATAATAAAACCAAAGCTTCATTTTCAAATGTGAAAAGTCTATATCAATACCAGAAAGAGAACATTTTAAAAACAGTTCTTTTATCCTATGCTGCTGTCTATCCTTCGAGACTTCAACAACAGAATGTGCAGCATGTTTTAAGTGTTTGATGAGAAATTAGTAGCTTCCCTTAAACTAAAAAGAGCTTATGAAACATTCTCTTTTATCCAGCAGATTTTAGATTGGTGGAATATTGTTATACTAAATGCTAAAGTTATACTAATGCTATTTCAATAAAATTGGTTATTGCTACCATGAAAATTCTGTGATGTTATTAACTGTTTTTGCTCTTTTTTAGAAAACTTAGCAAAATAAATTAAAATTTTGTGCCAACACTGACATGTCACATGTTGTTGTATTTTAAAGATTATGCTTTTGTTATGAGAATTACAGTTTTTATAAAAAAAAAGGTAAAGAGTATTGTTTGTATATAAATATTTATATTTTGTTTACTTTGAATCTTTTAAAATTTTCTCATGGCATTTTAAAAATTTTTGTTTGCACAATTCAAATTATATGTTTATTGTTTGCATTGCTTTTTTAATAATTGTGTGTATATTGTAAAATGTGCTTTATAGCTTTTTTATCAATGTGTTTTTATAATAATGTACTGTTTTTTTTTTATTGTTTTTGCATGTGTTCATACAAGTTATATAATTGTTTTATAAATGTTTTTAAATATGTTTAAATATGTTTATATAAGGTTAAATATGTTTATATATATGTATATATATATGTATATATATATATATATATATATATATATATATATATATATATATATATATATATATATATATATATATATATATATATATATATATATATATATATATATATATGTATGTATATACATATATATATATATATATTTATATATATGTATATATATATATATATATATATATATATATATATATATGTATGTATATATATATATATATATATATATATATATATATATATATATATATATATATATATATATATATATATATATATATATATAAACATATTTAACCTTATATAAACATATTTAAAGATATTTAAAAACATTTATAAAACAATTATATAACTTATATGAACACATGCAAAAACAATAAAAAAAAACGGTACATTATTATAAAAACACATATATGTATACATATATGTATATGTATATATATTTATACATTATATATACATGTATATGTATATATATTTATACATTTATACATTATTATAAAAACACATATATGTACACATATATGTATATATATAT